CCCTATAGGGCTTTAACTATTTTAATATATACTAACTAGAAAGTGCTTAGTAACTAGCTAGTAAGCCTTATAGGGCTTAGGCTCTCTATTAACTATATGTGTATATAAATCCTGCCCCTAACCCTACTAGCCTAGCCTAGCCTAGGGGCCCTACTATATTAATTCTTTAATATTTTTTAATAAACCTAAGGCTAATTTATATATACACTATTAACTAATATATTTAATACCTATATAAGACTTAGTATCTTATACTTATATATAGCTTAGATCTATTAGCTTAAGTGCTATAAATTATAAGTAATATAAGTTTTTTAGATAATAAAGAAACTTAATAGTCCTCTTAAGGATATATTATTTTACTATTTAGAGGCCTTATTATTTAAAAAGTAGTATAGTAAAATATAGTTATAATATTAACTACTAAGGTAAAGCTACTAAGTCTTAAGTATACTATAAAAAAGATAATAGCACTTTAGTGTCTTTTTAGGGATATAGCCCTTAAGCTAGGTAATATATAAAAAATATATTATAATAATTAGTAGACTATACGCCTTATTATAAGTAAGGGGGTAAGGATTATAACTTATCTTTAATATATTAACATTTAGAATATATAGCTTTAAGAAAAGTATATAGCTAGTAGCTTTAAAGTAGTATATTTATATATAGATAAAATACTAGCTAATAGGCTTATAAAAAGCCTATTATAAATAAAGTTTAAGTATTTTAAAAGCTTATTATACTTAGTAAATAGATAATAGCTTATTAGTAAAATAGATATAATATAAAGATAAGGTAATTCTTAATAGTAAAACGTCTTTTTATTTAACAATATAGGCTACACCTAAAAAGAATAAGATTTAATAGCCTATAGGCCTAAAGTAAAAGGTATTTCTACCCTAAAGGGCTTAAAAATAAAAGAACTAGTAGCCTTAAGGCCTTACTACTTAAATAGTAGTTAAGATAACAGCCTAGACTAGCTATAAGGGCACCCTTAATAAGGAGCTTAATTATCTCTAAAAAGGAGGCCTTTTTTACCTTATAATTAAGGCTAGGCGTAAAGGCAGAGCTACTTATAACACTAGCCCTACTAGAGGCTATAGCTAAAGCTAGACCTTTAGCCTTCTTCTTCTTATACTCCTTTTTTTTTCTTCTTTTTTTATACTCCTTTTTCTTCTTACCCTTAGCCTTAGCCTCCTCTATAGCTAGTAAAGCTACTACTATTAGCTTTACTAGCTAAAGGATTTAGTAAATCCCTTAGTATATATTAGTAACCTTTTAAGAATTAGTTAGCTATACATTTAAAAAACTAAAACAAAAGGATATATAGTATATAACTAGTTAGCTACTAGCTTCTTAAGCTTATAGTATAAGTTAGTAAGTAAAGGTAATAATAAAGGTATTACTAAGGTATAAGTAACTAAGAAGTAACCTTTAAAGTACTAAAAGTAGTAAGCCTTATACCTTATAGTAATAAAGTAAGTACTAGTGTTATTACTATAAAGAGCTATATATATATATAGCTTATATAGGATATCTTACTTTTTATACTTCTCTTTCTTTTTTTTAAGAGGTAGTCCTTTAGTATATACCCCTAAATTATATATCTTATTAGTTAAGGTTATACTTTTATATATAAAAACGTATTATATATATTTCTTAAGAGGCTTAAAGTCTTCTCTTCTAGAAGAAAGTCTAGTAGGAGGTAGCGTAGGGGGCGTATTAGGGGGGCTAGGGGGGGGGGGGGGGGGGGGGCTGGCCATCCAATAGACCTGTTCAACAGCAATTCGACGTATAGAAAGGCCAAGATACAAGATCGTAAACACATACCACGCAGCCGACAAGGACTTCTTCATTAGTGGGGGGGGGGGGGGGGGGGGGGGCAGTAGGTAGAGAAGTAGGGATAGGCTTAAGAGGGCCTAAGGTAGAAAAAGAACTATTACCTAAAGGCGTACTAGAAGTATTAGTAGTAGTAGTAGTAGTAGTAGTAGTAAGCTACTATAGCTACTATTACTACTATTATTACTACTATAGCTACTACTACTACTTTTACTACTACTACTACTACTACTACTAGATAAGCACTAAAAGGCGTAGCTATATAGTAGCTTTATTACCTATAGGTAGGGGAGTTTCTATTTAAGTAGTTAGTAAATAGATTATAAAAGGAGCTAGGATACTATACTTATAGTTAGTATTAAATATATTAATTATTATTTATTTTTATTTAAAAATAACTATTAGAATACTATATTTTAGTAAAGTAGTAGTATAGTAGTAGTTATAGTAATTTTATAAGTAACTTATAACGTTATAGGTAGGTATAAAAAAAGAAAAAAAAAAGAAAATAAAATACGCCTATAACTTAAGAAAATATATTAATAATAATAATAATAACTATAAATATATACTACTACTATATTACTAAAAAAAGAAATTAATAATTAAGTATAAGAATAAAAGTATAAATAGCCTTTTAATAAGTAATATATAAAGAAATAACTATATTATACTTAAATTATAACTACTTTATATATTCTTTCTATAAAACCTACTTAATAATATATTCTTTATATTCCTTTTATTTTATATATATTATAGTAAATAAAGGACTTAACTACTATAAAGCTATAATAGCTTCTTTTATAGTTAGGGGGTGTATTATAGGAAGCTTATATATATATAGCAGTTATTATTAGCTACACTACGTGCTATGTTATATAAACAAGCTTAAGGGCCTCCTTTATATAGGCCCTCTACCTAGGAGATTTATCTTCCTATAATACAAGCCTTTCTTTACTTATTTATATCTCCCTACCTGCTGTGTGCTCTAGCTTGTAAGAGAACCTAAGCCCCTAGATTAACGTGGATAGTTATACGTGCGACGCTATCCCAGAACCTAGAGCACAGAGTATAAACGCCAGATTCTCTTCTATCCTATCTCACTAAAGCTTATAGAGGACTTTAAATAAGCCCTTAGTAATACATAGGGATGTATATTCTCTATCCACATAGCAACTTTAAGATTAAGAAGATACTAAAGCGCCGCAGCTAGTTGTCTCTAATACCTCTAGGTAACCTCTAGTAATTTACATCTTCTTCTGCTTGCCTAATCTTACCATTATGTTTAACTTCTCTAGCCAAGTTAAGCCATGACGCCACACTGTGACCTAACCTAGCGCCACGCTATAGGAGTTATTTAGCATTATATGGTCAGCTTTTCCCTTCTAATCCTACAACAAACCTGGTTATCACGATTCACATCTATACATCTAGCCTGCTATGTCTCTATAGCCATACAGACTATACTCCACATCCACGAGTCTTCATAACGCTTTCTCCACACCTTTGTGCACCTAGGCCTTTATTATTGTTATTGTTATTTTCTGGCTTCTCCTACTTTGACGGGGATGACGAGGGGTACGATAGGCCTGTTGTACTTTTCTTTGTGGCTTTATGTAGAGATTATAGCCGGCTTGGTTGTTCTTCTTGTGGTCTCTGGCCTAGTCTTGCAAGCACTGCTTGATACAGCTAAACACCCTAGCTTCTGTTTCCCTTATCTATTTCTAGCAAAACAATAGTCTAAATCCCCACGAGCGAATTAATTCATTATTGCCTTGCCCTAGTTTAAGATCTTTCTCCTGGCTGCTGCAAGCTAGGGTCTGGCTGAAACCACCACCTTGAACCATGCGCAGAGGATTAAAGGTGCAAACCCTTCTTTAGACCTATTACAAGATATTTATCCCGGCCACGTTATCGTCAGATGTTTCAGAGACAGGAGCCATCTAGTCACTATATACTACAAGTCCAGTAGAACGCGCGTTAACAGGAGGTTTGAAGTCATTGATAACCTAATTTAACCTGATTGGGTGTTGATTAGTGCGATTAGCGTTGTGAAGAGTGACTATAACTTCAGCAAGACCTAGTTCGAAAGATATCTCTCCAAGCTGCAAAAACACGATGTATTTAGTCATAAATACTCTTACCTAGACCTAGAAGATTACTGGCTCTTCAAAACTCATTTGAAACACATTGGTGATCATGGGAATAGCTGAGATACCTGCTAGGAAAACTCTGCTAGCATTGTCCAGCGCTCTGCCTACACACTAAAGCACTTAAACAAGTTAGTCTTTTTTATAGGAACGATTGCTACAGGTAACTTAGTTACTCAAGATGGCAAGAGACAAGATGGAATAAGCAGGTAATACTATAAGGTAATCTGTATTAAGATGGAACTAGCGGGAGTTGTAATCAATAGGTCTTCATCTGGAAAACGTACGGAAGATTACAGACCTTACTAGAGGGCACATTTGCGACATTCTGTGTGCGACGTGGATCTATTGAACAATACATACCAACATGGTGCCACCTTAGCCATTGGTATCCAGTCAGTTGATCCGCAAGGCGGCTGGAGCGTTCTCCTTGCGATGAAAAGGTAGGAGCAAGTAGTTCTTGCTTCAACTCGAGAAGCTCCTTGTCAGCATGTCAGCAAAGGCGCCCTGATGGCAGTGTATCTATCCTGCAGGGCGGAAGACGGGGCCAAGAGGCTGTTTATTGCGGCCGCTACCCGCTTGGCATAGGGCTGTTAGTAGAGCACCTGTTGGCTTAAGCTTGACTATTGGAAGGGCCGCAAGCGATAGACCATTGCCTCACCGTGTCTCCAACGGATACTCTGGCCGGCCGACATGTCTGTGACATGGCTTGTTTTGGACAAGGGATGAGTGGTCTGCAACTGTGGCGAAGTTGAGGACGCATTTGTGAAACATGCTTGGTACTTTACAGCTACGTTCCTTCAGGCACATCCGGTCAGAGGCACCAAGGGGCATCGGTGTCTTGGCTGGGAAACCTATCAATGGACTCCCGTTCGATGCACACGACGCGCCCATAAATCCTTGGATCGAGCAACATGATGCCTTTCACGCCGCCCCATCGAGCCGGCGGACAGACACCCTAGTCCCAAGGGGATTCATTTACTTTATTTCGAGTTCCCCGCCGACTTATATCGGTTGGAGGAGGGCTTCCGTTATCCTTCTCTTAACTTCATTAACCCGAGCCTCGACAATCTCTTCTATTGCTTTCGCCACGCCGTCGTCGATGATTTTGCGAATGTCTTCTTTGGCCGTGCGTCCCATATCTTCCATCAAGTCCTTAACCTCATCACCGACGTCTAGCATTTGTTTCCCGAGCTCATCGTGTTTCCCACCCAACTCGTCTACATCACAAGACAGATTGTCAATAGCGGTGTCGACATCGTTCTGACGCTCTACTAATTGACTACAGGTCCCTTCTAGATCACCATGCAGTTTCTTGTGCTTCTCCTTCCACCTCTGTAATCTGTCGACTCTCTTTTCTAGTTCCTCAACCGTCTTTCGTAGTTGTCTGACAGACTCTTGTAGTTGTTCGGTCTGTTGGCCTTGCAGACTGGTTTGTTCATGTTGTAATCCATGCAGATTTGCCATCTGGGTCTCGTCTAGATTCGCGAATAGGAATCGCTGTAATTTCTCAGGGCGGGGTGCGTCCGTCGCCACTGTCGTTATGGTGCACATGGTGCTGATTGGTCGTTTTCTCTTGGTGACAGAACGTATATTGGTGTCTTTGGTTCCGCAGGGAAGAGTGCCCTGAAGGGGGTCCAGCGCATCGTCCCGCCGTTCGGTATCACCATACTTGGGCGGGTCGCAGCAGCCGCTTTCGGGACCTGTGGCGAAGAGGGCTGCGGGGGCATCTGATCCGGCCCCCGGCGACTGTTCTTCGCCCACGCATTCGTCATAAGGCGGCGGTGACGCTCGATGGCCTCGGCAAGGCGGCACCTCATCGAAGGGGAGAGTACTACCACTACCGCACGACGCAGGCGTTCCTGGAGCGGGAGAAGTCAAGCGATCCCTCGTGGGCGGAGAGCCATGGTCATCGCATGTGTGCACTCTGCCGCCAGCGCCATGATACAGCCTGCGCACATCCACCATGCACTTGTACGACTGCTTCTCAGTTTCCGTCAAATGTGGAAATTGGGCAATGGCCCATGTGTACTTCTTTATCGTCTTCCGCCGCAAGATATCGTGCCGAAAATATATGGAAAACAAGGAAGTCAACGCAAGCGACTGGAGTGATGTGCATGTGTCCAGAACCGGATTAACAGGTATATTTCCACTACTGGAATCAGATGGTTTGATGAGGTCGATGATACCGCGGCTGCGGAGCTGGAATCGGAGACAGGCAACTGAATGCATGCCATTCAGTAGCTTACGAACAACGTCGAGATAAGCCGGGCCCGGACTGTTAGGGTTCGCCTTGCCATACACTTCTTTCTCTAACGACTTGATATCTCCAGCTTTGATTTGTAGGAAACTTGTGGGCATGGTTGACGTGCTGTCGGTGACTGGGAAAAGGCGAAAGACGACGGAGGCGTGCGAGGCATATCGGGCGCGCAGTTGAAAATGCTGTTCAATCACTTGGGGCGGTCGTCCTTCATCTTCAAGCACCGCAATGACGTCGTGGGCATCGAAATTGACGTCTTGGTCAGACGGTTTATCGTGATTGCTTTCGGCCGACATTCTAGAAAGACCTGCGTATAGACAGACGTAGCCGACAGCAACCAGGAAAGAGATTGATACTTACTGTTGCGGTGGCGTCATCTGTTAATCACTTCCTTTTGCAGCAGCAGCAAGTCCCTCGCGCGCTCCTAGTAGGTAAGACGCGTCCAGCGGGACCCCGACCCTGCTCAGATTGCATAGGCAACTATTGTACGAACAGTAGAATGATCCGGGCGACTAGTCACGAGTCTAGGCGTGCGAAGCTGCGAAGGCTATGTACGCTCTAAACTGGTTCTAGCGGAAACCCAGTCCTACTCGCACAATGAGTTGCGCCAGCAGGTGAACGGTCGAGATCCTACAACACGTCCGTCCGGTAGAAACGCGCGGGAGAGATGGTGGTTGGAGGTAATCGCGTTGAAGATGGGTGTGATGGTGGAGGGCGGCATTTTAAACAGGGTAAAGGAGGGAGAGAACCAGAATTCACGAGGCTGCCTACAGGATGTTCTGTGCCACACCACGCCACATGAGGCTGACACTAGAAATAAGGTGGCTGGCAGGTTAGGTTAAATTACTTCAGTGGATCTATCTACTGAAGCGTGAGCGCCGTAACGTATGAGCGGCCTGTGCGCAGTGTGGCCGTGCGCGCTAGAGCGAAAGTAGGGGAGAATTGTCAAACAATAGGGGTTGTACGGATACAGAGGTGCGTTTCAAAAAACCATGCCCAACTGCCCAGAGCAACCCCAGCCAGCAGGACCCACTTAATATATATCTAACTAATTAGAAAGGCTAGATTAATCCACCTACTTTCCTCTCTACAGGGGCCAAAAGGGGCTAAAGCAAGGCAATTCTTAATAATAATAATAATAATATAAATAATAATACCACTTTTTTACCCCTTTAACTATTATAACTATAGCACGCGTTAACTCTTCTTTATAGTTAGTGATTCTTGCCCTTTAGAGCTGTCTTAGAGGTAAATTAGCTAATAAAGTAGCCTAAGGCCTAGGGTTATAAAAGCATATATTTAATAATATACTTCAATAAGTAAAAAAGTAGGGCTTTAATCTAACTACTTCTACCTTCTCTTTATAACCTAAATATATTAATAAGACCCCCTAGACTAGCTAACTAAAGAAGGCTATACTTATAGTTATCAAGTAGTAAAGATTATAATAGTTACTTAATTAATTCTATTATATATAATATAACTATTATAAATTCCTATAGAAATAGAGAAAAACCCCTATTTCTTAGTTAGGAAATCCCTAGCTAATCCTAGTAATATTATTAGTAAAGTTACCCCTAAAAGTAAGGCTAATTTACTGCCTATTCCCTAATAATTTACTATAATATAACTATATATTTACTAGCTAATTTATATATAATTATATTATATTTAATATACCCTCTTAGCGCTAGTAATGTAATTAATTACTATAGAGCTTATACTAAATATCTTTTATATATAGCCTATTTATTTATTAATTATTTATTAATCTCTTATACGTTTTCCTTTTTTATTTAGTAGTAAAGCTTTACTTTATTATTAGCTAATTCTTACTATTAATTTACTTTAAGATATATATATTAGTTACTTATATTTTATTAAGCTATAAATATATTAAATTATAGCGTACTAAGCGTCTTTATTAATTTATTAGCTATTAATTTAGTAGACTTCTTATATTTAATAGTAATTTAATTTACTACTAGTTTTTAATATAGCTAGTAGTTATAGATATCTATATACTATAGCCTAATTTATAATTAAATAAGCTTCTTAGTAATAAGCTTAATATTTTAGGTATTATTATAGCTAATATAAATAGTTAGTAGCTATTTAGTAGCTACTTACTTATTAAGTAATAATTTAGTTTCTAGTTATATTAATAGTTAAATACCTAGTGTAGTAATTAATCTAGTAGTAAAAAGCGCCTTTTTTATAGTAAATAATAAGGCTAGTAATTTAGTCTTAGTAGTTAATATTATTACTATATCTTATTTATTAGCTTACTAAAAGATAAGCTTTTTAAATAGCTTTAGTATATATACTTATAAGCTATAATAGTCTAGTAAGTTATTAGTAAATAAGGCGTCTAAAGTAACCTCTAATATATTATTTTTACTACCTAGTGTTACTTTATATTTAAAGTAGAGGTACTATATTTAATAAAGATAGTTAAGTATATAATTTATAGCTATTAGTTATTACTAAGGTAGTAATATAGTTAACTATACGTATTAATAGGTAATAATAAATAATAGGGGTAAATACTAGTTCTAAATTATATATAAAGGAAAGAAAACTATTATAGGATTACATAGTAAATTCACTACGTAATATCCTTATAAATCTAGTAGATCTATAGTAAATTAGCTATAGTTATTCTAACTAATTAGCGTTAATTTATACTGCTAATATCTAGGCAATAGTTAACATTATAACACTAGTAACCTTCTAAAGTGTTATAAATTATCCCTATTTTCTAGTTATCTATAAAAGGCCTAAAAACAGAATAAAAGTAAAAAGCTAAAAAGTATTTCATACTTTTTATATATATAACTTACTATATATATAAAACCTATTTATTTATTAATATCTCTAATTAACTATTATTAATTAACTGCTTTAGCGCTTTATTTAGTAATAATTTTATAAATCTATCTACTAGGTTATCCTCCTCTTATATTTATTAGATTTTATAGATCTTATATTACTTATATAACTAGTAAAGTGCTATAATATTAATTATAAGTTACTTCTCCTTAGTAGTACTAAGCTTTATAAGGTACTAATAGAGGGAGTATAAGTTAGTGTAAAGGATTATTAGGATTTATAGTAACTTAAGGCAGTTAGTAATTATTATAAGTATAGTACTAATTATATAGGTAACGTTAGCGCTAGTAACTATACTATAGACCTTAGAGGCTAGTACGCTATATATAACTTTTTTATACTTTATTAAGCTAAAGTAGATAATATTACTAGTAAGTATAAATTTCTTATTATTAGCAGTAGGTTATATAACGTTACTTTTATTAGTAAGTATAATAATAAAGCTAAGTTATAAGGTAAGGTTATAGTTATTTATAAATAAGCTATTAATAAAAATGAAAAACTTTATGATTGCTCGATGGTGACGCACGAAAAATCGGTGGGCTCGCCCTTCCTGTCTCTTCTTCGAACTGTCTGGCTATGTATTGGACTTACTAGCAGGACCCATAGGACATCTGTGGCCGCGCCCGGTCGAGTCGTTATACTCACAGACAGTGTATCGTGATCAATTTTTTAGACTCTTGTCCGAGCGAAACACCAAAAATTACACCCCATAGCGGTAATACAAGCCTGCTCATTACACGACGGGCCCCCACGCGCGTAAATGAGCCTCGCCTAACCCGGGTTCACGGAGTACCCT